ATATATCCCAAAGAGACCATAAATGACATCCAAGCAGATATATGCACACCCATGTTTATTGCAGCTCTGTTCACAATAGCAAGGAGTTGGAAACAACCCAGGTGCCCATCAACAAACAGATGGATAGAGAAGCTGTGGTATATTCATTCACATAATGGAATACTATGCTGCATTGAAAAACAAAGAACTCATTCAGTATTATTCAAAATGGGTGAAACTGGAGGATACTATGCTGAGTGAAATATCTCAGTCGCAAAAGGACAAATATTGCATGGTGCCACTGCTGTAAAATGGGACTGATATCAGGGTTGGGGTAAGACTGAGAAAAACTGGATAGATCGTGTATACTGCACTGATACAGATGAGGGAGTGAATAATTTAAAAATGATATATGATAGGGTATTATGGTTATCACAAGAGTCCACAATTAAGGTTGTATAGTGGAATGTACTTGGGGTGGTGGGAGGGGTGCGGGGGGATTGTGTACCAGGGAGGGAGTGTTTCTTTTACTTTTGAAAGAGAGGAGCGAACTGGGGAGGGGGGAGGGCTGGGCTGGAAGAGAAGTGCAGCAATGAATGAATGGGAAAAAAATTAAAAATTAAAAAAAAAAGATTCCTGTACCAAATGACTCCACGGCTGAATTCTACCAAACATTCAGAGAAGATTTATCACCAATCCTACTTATTTTAAAAAATAGGAAAGGAGAAACACTTTCAGAGATATTCCATGATACAAGCATAATCCTAATATCAAAACCAGGCAAAGATATTACCAAAAAAAGAAAATTATAGACCAATATCTCTCATGAACATAGACACAAAAATCCTTAATAAAATCCTAGCAAATAGAATCCAAAAGCACATCAAAAATATAATTCATCATGACCAAGTGGGATTCATAAGAGGTATACAAGGATGGTTCAGCATAAGAAAAACGATTAACCTAATTCACCACATTAACTAAGCAAACAACAAGAACCATATGATCCTAGCAATTGATTGAGAAAATGCATTTGACAAAATCTAACACCCCTGGCTGATTAAGACACTCAGCAAAATTTGAATAGAAAGGAATAACCTCAACGTAGTGGCAAGTATATAGGTAAACCCAAGAGCCAATATCATTTTCAACGGAGGAAGACTAAAAGCAATTTCTTTGTGAACAGGGATGACACAAGGATTCCCACTGTCACCACTTCTATTCAATATTGTAGTGGAAGTACTTGCTAGGGCAATGCAAAAAAAGAAGGAAATAAAAGGCATCCCGATCAGCAAAACGATGGTTGAACTGTTGCAATATACAGATGATATGATAGTAGTGTACACAGAAAATAACAAGGACTGAACAAAAAGCTTTTAGAGATAGTAAAACAATTGAGTAGAGTGGTAGGATACAATATCAATATCCAAAAATCAGTGGAATTCCTCTACAATAACAAATGGAACTCAGAGGAGGAAACCAAGAAAGCAATACCATTATAATAGCCAACCACAAATTGTTATACTTGGAGTGAACCTAACTAGAGACACAAAAGACCTATACAAAGAAAACTACAGAACATTTATGTGAGACACAATAGGGTATCAAAATAAATGGAAAATTGTTCCCTGTTCACGGATAGGAAGACTCAATACTGTGAAAATGACAATCATATGAAAAATAATCTTCATGTTCAACACAATCCCAATACAGATACCTAATTCATTTTTCAAGGAGATTGAAAGGGAAATTGTCAAGTTTATTTGGAGAGGAAAGAGACCCCAAATAAGCAAAGCACTTCTGAAAAACAAAAATGAAGTGGGAGGCACAACACTCCCTGACCTCAAAACCTACTACACAGCAGTAGTAACCAAAACAGCATGGTACTGGTACGATGACAGGCACACAGACCAATGGATCAAAACGGAGAACCCAGAAATGGACCCATGTATCTATGATCAACTGATATTAAACAAGGAAATAAAACCCATCAAATGGGAAAATGACAACCTCTTTAACAAATGGTGCTGACAAAGTGGACTGCTGCCTGCAGAAAGTTGAAACAGGATCCACATCTCACACCATACACAAAAATAAACTCAAGGTGAATCAGAGACTTGAGAATAAGCCCACAACCATAAAGTTCACAAGAGACAAACTGTTATTAAGCTTAGAAGACCTAGTCTACCTAAGTCTGCCAAATAAAGAGACTGCTAAATACAGCTTGAAATACACAATCTGAAGTGGATAAAATTGATGAATAGGACCTTCTTTATTTATTTTATGTGTGTACTGTCAAATTGAATCTGACTGGTACAGGAGGCGATTGTTCCTCCTTCTTCAGCAGAGCATCTGGTGGATTTGAACCGTGCACCTCTGGGATTGCAGTGCAGTTTCCTGCCACTAGGCCACCAGAGCTCGCCTTTTTATTTTATGTGTGTACTGTCAAATTGGATCGAATAGGACCTTCTAAAGGTTAAATCTCTGTGCTCATAAAAAACTTTTTCCAACAGGGTGAAAAGAAAACCTACTGATTGGGAACAAACATTTGGCAATACCATCTCAGACAAGGGTCTCATAATGAAAGTTTACATAATACTCCTAGGCCTCCAGAAGAAAAAGACTGATATTCCATTTACAAAATGGACAAAAGACAGTGAAAGATTTACAACAGAGAAGGACATTCAGATGTCCAACAGACACATGAAGAAATGCTCAAAATCAGTGACAATAAGAGAGATGCAAATCAAAACCACAATGAGATACTATCTCACTCCAGTAGCAGGGGCAAAGTTTAACAGGGCAGCAAGTAAGAAATGTTGGAGAGGATGTAGCAAGATAGGAAGTCTTATACATTGTTGGTGAAATTGTAAAACAATTCTGCAAGACAGTTTGGTGCTTCCTCAAAAGGCTCAACGTAGAAATTCCCTAAGACCCAGCTAATCCATTGCTTGGAATATACTCCGAGAAAATGAGAACCAAGGCTCAAACGGAGACTTGTACACCAGTGTTTATAGCAGCGTCATTCACCATTGCAAGAATATGGAAACAGCCCCAAACTCCATCCATAAGCAAATAGATTGAGAAGTTGTGGTGCATTCACACAATGGAATACTATGCAGCACGCAGGAGCAATGATTTTGTAAAGTATGATGTAATTTGGCGGGGACTGGAGAGTATTATGCTAAGTGAGCTAACTCAGTCCCATAAGGACAAATACTGTAAAAAACCATGATCATAGAATGAGTATGAGGATCCAAGGGAGGGGGGAAATGTGAAAGCAGAGGGGTGAGGATGGGCAGGGAAGGGGGTGTTAATCATAGGGTCGCACAGTTTGTTTGGAGGGGATTTGAAAGAAATGGGAAAGATCTTGTGTGAAAAACAATGTATTAGAATTTTGTAAATAGTCAGTATAAAACAAAACCAAAACCAAAACACAGTGAGATACCACTTATCCCAGTAGGAGTGGCAAAGCTTAGCAGGGCAGCAAGTAATAAATGTTGGAGAGGATGTGGCAAGATAGGAACTCTTATACATTGTTGGTGGGATTGTAAAATGGTACAACCACTCTGGAAGGCAGTTAGGCATTTCCTCAAAAGGTGATCATAGAAATTCCATACGACGCAGTTTTCCACTGCTTGGAATGTTCCCTGAGAAAATGATTACTGAGGCACAAAGACTTGTGCACCAATGTACATAGCATATGTACAATGACCATAGTAAGGACATGGAAATAGCTCAGATGTCCAACCACATTGGAATGGATTGAGAAATTATGGTACATTCACACAATGGACTATTATGCAGCACGCAGGAGCAATGATTTTGTAAATTACTTACCTAACGTGAGAGAGACTGGAGTGATTATACTAAGTCAACTCACTTATTCTCATAAGGACAAATACTAAATTAGACCATTATTATAGACTGAGTATGAGGATCCAAGGCGGGGAGGGGGTAGCAGATGGGTGAGGATGGGAGGGTTTGAAAGGGGGGCTTAATCATAGTGCAGCACAATTTGATGGGTGGAGGGAGGGGTGGGTAAAGGAAAGGGGAAAGATCTGGTGTGAAAAATAATGCATACGGACGTTGCAAGTAAACAAGTATAAAATAAACCATTTATTAAAAAAGAGGAAGGAATGTTAAGAAAATGGGTTGGCAGGCTGCTGGAGAGTTTTGGAAGTTCAGAATTCAAGTTGCTTTCTTTGTGATGAGTGAAAAGGCATCTTTGAATGTGAGAAAAATCTTCATTTATCTTTGTTTCAGCCAAGCAAGTGTGTTATTTATAATGCCACCTCAGCTCTTTTGCAATGATACCTGACTGACTAATTTATACATTTCATGGGAGAAGAGGGACAAAATAAACTACCTGCATCTACCTAGTATTAATTTTGGTTGCCCTGGAGCCCTTTCCCTGTTGCTCCCTCATCTTAAATATCCAGGAGGCCTGAGCAGCTAAGCTGTCATCCTGTTCCTCCTCCCCCAATTCAGCCCCCCTCCAGCTGCCCAAGACCCTGTGGCCCTGCCGCCTAGCCTTGCAGCAGCCACAGGGGGAACCAAAGAGACAGAAGCCTTTCCAGCTGCCCGGATTGCAGACGCCAACACCTCCAGCCCCCAACCACACACAGCCTGACTGCTTGCACCCCTCATGCTGACTCAAGACCAAGCGGCGGCGGCGGTAGCGGCGGCTGCAGGCTGCAGAGAGTTGCACTAACGCGCTCCAGGCAGTATTCTCCATCCAAGGTGACTTGAGCTCGCCAGCTCTGCTGTGCCTGACTCCTCTACCCTTACTCCAGCTTTTGCCCCTGGGTGGGCTCCAGCACCTACCTCCTCTCCCTCCCCCACCTCTCTATCAACCAGCTTGCCGAAAGGGAGGTCGCGGCAGCGGCCAGACAGCAAAGGTGACCGTGGCGACAGCAGGGATCTTGGCGGCGGCGGCGGCGGCGGCGGCGGCGGCAGCAGCAGCAGCAGCAGCAGAGGCTGCAGCGGCCACAGTGGCAGAGGCAGTGGCTGAGGCCTCCGTAGCTGAGGCAGAAGCAGTGGTGGAGGCCGAGGCCCCCGTGCAGGACGCATTGGTAGAGGCCACCCTGGGGAAAAGAGAGACTTTTCTGGCGGCAGCTGCAGCAGCAGAGGCCAGTGCGACGAAAGCCGCTGCTGCAGCACACGCTGTGGCTTCCCCCTTGGCAGTGGTGGATGTGAACAAGGATGTGGTTGCTGAGCCTGAGGTGGTGGCTGTGGTGGCAGCGGCAGCAGCGGTGGCAGAGGCCAATGCGGCCAATGCTGCCAATGCTGCCAATACAAATGAGGATGTCAGCATGGGCGGGAGTGCTGAGGGGAACCCTGATTTTCCCATGGCATCACTGTATGTAGGTGACTTGCATCCTGAGGTGACCGAGACAATGTTGTATGAGAAGTTCAGCCCTGCCGGGCCCATCCTCTCTATCCGCATTTGCAGGGACAAGATCACCCGGCGCTCCTTGGGCTATGCATATGTCAACTACCAGCAACCTGTGGACGCCAAGCGGGCTTTGGAAACCCTGAACTTTGATCTCATCAAAGGCAGACCAGTGCGTATCATGTGGTCCCAGCGAGACCCCTCGCTCCGCAAGAGCGGAGTAGGCAACGTCTTCATCAAGAATCTAGGCAAGACCATCGACAACAAAGCTCTGTACAACATCTTCTCAGCATTTGGCAACATCCTCTCCTGCAAAGTGGCTTGCGATGGAAAGGGGCCCAAAGGCTATGGATTCGTGCACTTTCAGGAGCAGGAGTCTGCTGAACGGGCCATCGATGCAATGAACGGCATGTTCCTGAACTACCGCAAAATTTTTGTGGGGCGATTCAAGTCGCATAAAGAAAGAGAGGCAGAAAGGAGAGCCTGCGCTAGACAGTCCACCAGTGCTGAGATCAAGGATTTCGAGGAAGACACCGATGAGGAGGCCGCCTTGCGATGAAGATATCCCAGGGTTGGCAAGCAGCCAGCAGAGCCAAATCTTGGCTCCCACCGGGTTTACAACCCCATTCCCACCCCACCCACCAGCAGTGTATTGTATTGGGAGTGCAGGTTTCTCTTCTCACTCCCTTTCCTCTCCTCCTCCAGGCCTAAGTGCTTTTGTCAATAATCTTGCTAATCTTTGCCATTTCGTAGTTTAAAGGCTGCCTCTTTTCCTTGTGATTTGGCTTAAAAACACTTTCTCTATTTGTTTACTGTATAGAAACATCTGAAAGGAGAGGAAATCAGATGAAGGGAAAACCTCTCTGTGCCCCTCTTATTCAGAGACAACCACTTTTGCGGTTTTGGTGTGGTTGCTTCTTCTCTCTCTCTCTCTCTCCCCCTCCCTCCCTCCCTCCTTCCTTTACCCACAGTCATCCACCCTCCCATTTAACACATTGCTCTCGAAAGGGTCTGTTATGTGGTATTACTTAATCTTTTTATGAACCAAAATCCAACAAAATCAACCCATTGAACTTCTTTCCATGTTATTTAATATGCTTTAACATGTCTTTAGTGCCTGCAGAGTGCTTCAGTGTATTCATAGACTTTAACATTTCAGTAATCATTTCACATAATTTGATGATGCCTAGTTCTTTCCATGTTTAAAAGCAAAACTTTGTACTCTGATGAATGAATATTTCCTTGTCTAGCCAAATTTTTGCTACCGGTTTCAAGTGGCCAAATGTTCTTTTACTGTGTAGATTATATACAACCATTTTTTTTATACGACCATTTTTAAAACATTTCTGGGAAAATGAATTGTAAGCCGTTTAAAAATAAACTTCAGTATTGTTATATAATTATTATAAAATAGTTATAATTATTTATAAATTTATTGCTAATTGTTACAAAAACAAATGTTCCTCTTATTTAAAGACAATCATTCTTAGCTTTTAAGGTGTAAATTTTTTTTTTTTAGGCTTTCTTCTTTCACTCTCTTCCTTGCTCCCATCCAATCTTCCCTTTTAACACGTTCCTATAGAATGGTTCATGTGTGTGGTGCTTCTTAGCCTGTTTTTAGGTTTTTTGTGTGTTTTTTTAAAAAACTAAAACCCAACAAAAGTCAACTAATTGAACTTCTTTCCATGTTATTCAACAGGCTCCTGAAAATGTCATCTTTGGTGCCTGTAAAATGTTCCAAAGTATCCATGGACTTTAACATTTCTGTAATCATTTCCATCTTGTTGAATATTCAAATGGTGTCTAGTTCTTTCCTTGTGTTTAAGACCAACATCAGGTATTCTTTTTTTATCAATTTTAATGAAAATTTACAGAGACTTTGTATTTCCATTCATTCATTATTGCACTTTTCTCCCCTCCCAACCCTCCCCCCCAGTACACTACCCTCTTGGAAAAGTAAAAGATAAATTTTTTCATAGTTTTACAAACACTTCCCCAGGTCCACTCCACTCTGTAACCTTCGCTCTGGAATCCTGTCATGACAATAATACCTAATCACATATCCCTTTTAAACAGTTTTCTCTCTCATCTGTTTCAATGCAGTATACATTATTTATCCTATCTTTCTCAGTCTCCACCCCCCAACCCCATACATCAGGTATTCTATCAAGTGAATACTTCCTTGTAAAAACAAAATCTTTATTACTACTCCCAGTTGTTTAAGTGTTCTCCTCAAGTGTGGATTTGTTTTTTATCGTTTTGTTGGGTACTACTGAATCAGAACCAACCCATAGCTGACCCTCAGTTAGGTTTCTCCTTCCCTCCCCGCCCCCCAGGTAGTTAGTCACATGGGGGAAGATGGTCCCTTTTTTAAATTGTGTGCCTTTCAGGTTTGCAGCTCAGCTTCTTACCACTAGGCCACAAGAGCTCCCAAGTGTCGATAATACATATGAACATTTTGAGAACTTATCTTACGTTTTTCCAAGTGGACCACTTCCTATATATTGCACTGATTGCATCCCAGCATGGTGTCGTGATTCTTGTAATTGACAATGTGTATGCCTCCTCATTGTTGTTGTTGTTATATCCTCATAGTTTCTACAAATGATATTTCACTGTCTTTGATGATTTTGCACTTACTAAATCCCCATTTCCCTGTCCTCCTCTCCTGTTGACAGAAAGTTAATTCAAAGTTTATTTCAGGAGGGGGAAAACCCCTACAAAAGAGACAAATCAATAGAGGAATATAAATGTCATCTGTAGGGAATGTTGGTGACCTGTCATTACTTCCTGAAACATTTTAATGTATACATGTCTAGTATTTCCCAAGAACTACCTGAAATATTTTTTCTGTTTTGTTGGCTTCTGTAGAAAAAAGGTTCTCACTTATAGCCACCTTATAAACAACATAATGAAACATTATCCAGTCCTATACTGTCCTCATAATTATTGACATACTTAAGCCTATTTTTGCAGCAAGAATTATCTTATCAAGAATTTGCCTCTTTTTCACTTACCCTCCACTTCACCAATCATACTACTTTCCAGGGATTAGGCCTTCTTGATAACATGTTCCAAGTATATGTTTACCTCCTCAGTATTTTTCTCATTATTTTCTGCATCATAATGCTCATCTGGTTTTCGTATCTGCCATATTACACATAAATGTGTGCATGAATATGTATCTATAGATTTGACACTCTAGTTAAAAACACATTGTCAATATTCCAGTGTCTTTTAAGGCACACAAATATCGTGAGAGGGCACTTATCTTGGATAATTTTCTGTACTTGGCAAAATAATAACTTCTGTACTTCTCAAGTGTTTTTAGAGAACAAATTGTTTTTATGAGTTGTTGTTGTTGTTGCTGATTGTCTTCGAGTTGAGCATGACTCATAGCGACCATATGAACAAAAGGCCTGAATCCCCTCTGCAACTATCGACTTTCATGAAAGTTCAAAAAGTTTCTGGAGGCATGTTATTTAGGAAGTGGATGCCACTCCTGCTCCCAAACCTGTCATAGTATGTCATTGTTGTTAAGTGCCATTATTGCTATATGCTATTGATTTGCCTGCGATGTTTTGCTTGCATGTGATATTGTATGATAATTTTCATGTTCTATTGGATCACCTTCCCTGGGAATGGGAACAAATACAGATCTCTTCCATTCAGCCAACCAGGAAGCTGTCCTCCAAATATGCCAGTATTAACTGGTGAGCACATCCACGGCTGCACCTTTGGTTGAAATAAGACAATTGCTATCATCTCATCGATTCCTGGTGCCTTATTTTTTTTGCATTAAGTACAGCTTGAAATTCTTACATGGTTATATGATGGCCTATTAATGTCACTCCATTAATTGTGAGGTCTTCAGTCACTCGTGTCCAGTGCTTCAAATCTATACTTTAAAGAAGAGATTCTGTAAACCTATTTTACAGAATCTATTAATTTGATTTTAAAGAAAAGCTGTGGGTGCTATCATGGATGTCAGAAGAGTCTCTGAAATATGCTCTTGAACAAAGATAAGCTAAAGTAAAAGGAAGAAATCACGAAATAGACATGAGCAGAAGATTTCAAAGGGCAGCTTGAAAAGATAAGAGCAAAGTATTATAATAAAAATACAGACATGGAACGAGAAAATGAAAAGGCAAGAATATGCTCAATATTACTCAAGCTGCAAGAACTGGAAATAATTTAAAGACATGATGAAATGCAAGGCTGAAGAATTCCAACGCAAAATATAAAATGCCACTTGAGATTGCTTGTGGGGATATGGGACTGAGGCTTCCCTGGGGTTACAGGTTCCTCCATCTGGGGATCCTGGCTTCCGTGGCTATAAGGCCATTCCAAGGGCCAAAGAGGACAAGAGATTTTAGGACGCAGAGCTACAAGTAGAGGAAAGAGTATTCTTAGAGAGAGGGCTCACTTGAGATCCCTAGCAGACATGCTGCTTGAGTTGGTAGCCCTGAACTCTGTTCTCCTGCACTCCAGAGACAAAGGAAGACATTAAGTTTCAGAGGGAAAGGTGCACCTGTAGAGCACGTGTAGAGACCAGTGGAGCACCTGGTCTCACACCACTCAGCCACTACATACATGAAGGAGGACTAACCAGTTGTCAACAGGGGACTACATAAAAGTGAGATTCCTACAGGGCTGCAGTGCAGAACAGAGAGAACCTCAAGGACTTTGTTATTGTTGTTATTGTTGCCTTTGAGTCGAGCACAACTCATAGCGACCATGTGAACAAAAGCCTCTACATCCATCTATCAACATTTATCAAAGTTCATAGTTTCTGGAGACATGTTGTTTAGGAAATGGATGACACTCCTGCTTTCAAGCCTGTCATAGAATGTTACTGGTTGAGTCGCCTGCGACGCATACTGACCCTACAATGATCATTTACTTTCTTCATAGACAATGTCCTTGATGACATCCCACAACTCATCTGGTCTTTGGTCAATAGTGTTCCATGCACCAAATCTATTCTTGAATTGATTTTTAAATTCAGTTGAAATAGACTCAATGTCATATTTTAGTTCTTGTGAACTTGTTTTCATTTTCTTCAGCTTCAATTTGAACTTGCACACGAGTAATTAATTGATGGTCTATTCTATAGTCAGCTCCTGGTCTCGTTTTGAATACTGATGTTGAGGTTTTCCATTTACTCTTTTGGCAAATGATGTCAATCTGTGTAACTCATCAGGTTAAGTCTATGTGTGTAATAGCTGACTCCTGACACTAAGCTTCTTGATGGACTTTCTCTACAGATGTATCAAATCTAATTCCCATGTAATCAATCCAACAGAGTAAGTCCATATGTACACTTATGGTTTATGGCTTTTAAAAATTTATTTGCAACGACTGTATCATTGTTTGTATCCCATTATAGTTGTTGTTAGGTGCTGTTAAGTAGGACTCATAGTGATCCTATGAACAACAGATCATACCCCTGTCCTATCCTGCACCATCTTTCTCATTCTGAACACACTTGAACTCACTGCCACACTCATTGTATCAATCCAGCTTGCTGAGGGTCTTTCCTTTGCTAACCCTCCACTT